TTAGGGTTTAGGGTTTTGGATTCTGGCCGAGGGGGAGGAGGAGGAAGGAGCAGGAGCAGGAACAGCAGTTTTGGTGGCAGCATTTGTCAGCATGGTTTGCTTGGCAGTCTCATCTCGTTTACCTGGGCCCCCTATACCCTCGACCCTACCACCTGCACAAGTGGGGCCTTAGGAGAACATGGATATACACGGCCGGGTGCTCGTGACCTCCATGCTGTGCTTCCTGGCTGGATACGGCGGTTTCGTCGATTCAGGAGCTTATTGTACGGGGCCTATATGGGAGTTTCCGAACATTAAGGGTACCTTATTCTGGGGTCTTTACAATAAGGATCCTACTATTTGGGGTACTACATTAGGGTCCCCTGTGTTCGGAAACCCCCATTGAGGGGTCTACATGGGAGTTTCCTTTTTGTCTGAAACTGCCCTATGCTGGCAGGGCCTAGGGCTGATCTCTGGAGGCTTGTGACCTTGGCGCTTGTACGTTGCTGCGCAACAGCCTACTTGTTACTTATCTTGCTGGGAAATACCACACAACTGGGTATGTGTGTCAAGGCGTGTATTATGCATGTATGCGTTTTGAGCCCGCAGGGCAAAGGCGCAGGCCCAATGTAAAACCAACAGCCTTCCAACATAAAGGACCTACTATAGGGGTCGGAAGAATTAGTACTACCAAACCTATAGCATTTTTTTACTTAGTTTCAGTATGCTACACCCCAAAGCCTTGTTCTGATCCTCCTTTGAAAGCCCCAGGCGTGCCGGCCGCCGATCCCTGCCCCTGCGGTCAGAATGCCTGGAGCTGTGGGGAATTCTGTGCGCCGGTCCCTGGGCGACGATACAGGTTTGGATCTAGGGTTTAAGTTTAGGGTTTACGTTTGTCGGCGGTTCCCCACATCTTGTCTACGGTCCTTGTACTGATCTTTGGTTTGTCTCGCTCGTGTGTGGGTCAAGCTCGCTTACGGAAGAAGATCGGAGTGCTCTTGTAATATCTGCACGACACGAGACGCCGATGTGGGCACTGCGGCCAGAAAGGAGCATGCTCACCCCTGCGCAGACTAAGAGCAACCCAAGCAGCGAACGCCCTGGGCCCGGAGTCCTGAACCCCAAGAGTCTAACCGCGAGGTCGGGATACCTGGCTAGACTGTCCTTCCGGTACTCTCAATATACGTATACGGTAACATACCCCAAGACCCTAGGCAAGCTGTTAAGCTCCCTAAACCCTAAACCCTGAACCCTAAACCCTAAACCGCCCTCTGTTGCTTCGAAATCCATTGATGGCAAAGCGAGGCTTCCGACGGCTGTCCTGGCACCTGCGAGGCTGGCAAGGCCACCTTTCTTTGTGACTGTATTGGGGCTTATCACATTCTTATTGTAGTATTAACCCTTTTTGTTATTGAACAGCTGTTATTATGATGATTATGATGATGAGGATTATTTTTTTTTGCTACTGTTGTTGTTATTATTATCATCATTGTTGATATTGTTATTGTAGTGCTATTTTTAAAACTGCTGTTTCTGCTGTTATCACTGCTAGTCTTATGGTTACCCTATGTGGGAATACATATATATATATATATATGTATACACATACACACATACACACATGTATATGATTTTGTTTATGCACTGCTGTTTTTGTAGATGTGCCCTCTAGCTGTTTTATTTAAGCCGTGTTGTGCTGTTTTTTCGGCTGCTGTCACTTGGAGCTCGGGTTTGCGGGGGCTTGCACCACAGGGTGTTATACTTGGAGGATCATGGGACTTAGCAAGTAAGTTTATAAGTACCCCAATTGGGGTTATAATCGTAGTTACCTTATTCATAACCCTAGTTTCTACGTCCCATGATCCTCCAAGTAGGGGTTTTCAGAGTGTTGGCGGTTGGGGTTTGGGGTCTTGGCCAAGATTGTGCCTTGGAGGCAGTCTTGTTTTGTCAGTTGCAGTATGTTTTTCGGTGCCTTGGTAAGCAGAAAAGAGTTTTGGGACATTTTATGTCAGATCACTTTCCTACTGCTTTCCCGGCGCCCTGCTCTTGCCCGTGACTTCCAATGTAGTTCCTTCAGCGTTGAGATTCTTATGGTCTAGGGTCGTGCGTGCAGTCGCTTTTCAATTTTTTTGTAACTGGTCGACGAAGTCTACTAAAGTTTTCCCTTCGGGGTTGACTTCTGCATGTACCACATTCTGTTTGTAGCGACTGCTAGTGAGCTAGTGTCTGAAATCTTCACCCCTGCTATCATTGTACAGTTTTTTTCTCTTGTTCTCGTTGCGTTAAATGGGTATGTCTCGTCTGGACTATTTCCCAGATGATCAATGTTCCTATTGGTCTTCGTAATATCGCGACGGTGCCTGTCAAATGCTGTGCTGCAGGTCTGCCTCCCGGTGTCCTACACGGTGGAAGGTGCGCATGTAGCCGGTTCTTTGGGTTTTGGGGTTTAGGGGCTCAGGGTTTGGGACAAACATTGCCCCGGCCCGAACCGTCAACCCCTACATCTTAAGTGCCCGCACCCTGAACCCTAAACGCAAGGCCCTAAACCCTAAACCTTCAACGCGAAACCCTAAACCCTAAACCCTAATGCCAAGAATTCTGCCAATGGGGAGCATGTTGCTGACATGGTGACTGGCCCTGAAGTTGGGCCGGGGCTGAATGAGGATAGTGAGAGTGAAGATGGTGGAGGATATGGGCAGTTCTGCAAATTCGGGTCCCTTTTAGGGTCCTTTTTACAAGGGTGCCTCACTATATTGCGGACCTCCAGGGGGCCCTAATTTTGAGAACCACCCATATGGTGCTTTGGATGAGGCTCAGCAGAATGGGCAGGTCGAATCCACGTCATCTACCACTGCACAGTGGGAGTTGGCCTCTACTTCCACGACGTCGGCCCCACCTGGCATGAGCTTTTTTCAGATGGTGTTAACTCAGAGAGCCCAATACCCCTTAATTAAGGAAGATACCTTACATTAAATATTAAGGCCCCTATAATTTAAGGTATGTTCCTTATTTAAAGGGTTTTTTGGGCTCTCTGGAAGCTACGTCCACATTTGTCGACCTTTGTTGGGGAGACTTCCTTTCAGACGGCGTCAACTGCGTTCACAACGTCGACTACGTGCTCCTCAGGGTTGTCTACACATGCTCAACCACTTCAACACCTACAAGTGTTTCTATGATTGGGGTGGAGCTGATAAAATAAGCCTTTCCTCGATCGCGAAGATTCAGAAGTGGCATGATCTTCTTGCTAAACTTGTGTCGGAGCTATGATGGTTATTGGGTGAGCTGGCAAAAGTGATCAAAAGTGCTGTTTAAACCTGCAAACTTGGAGCCCGAAGCCCGGGAAAGCAAAGCTCAGACCCTGCAAAGTCAAAGCCCTTGAACCCCTGACATCCTAGGGCCTTGGGATGAGTCCCTTCACGGTAATGGCATGGGAACTCTATGGACTCTATGGGGATATTTTTTACTGGTTGTTCGGACCTGCGTACCCAGAGAGCCCAATACCCCT